GTAGTGTTTGTGCTTGCATTATATGCTCCCGGAACGTTTATAACTTATTGTATTGTCTGCTGTGTGTATTGTTTGCCTAGTTTAGGCCTTTGTGTAAATTTTGTTTGGTGTTTTGTTGATACTGTAATGTGTGTTCCGTGTGTGTTGGACTATTGTCTTCTGCGTTGTGTTTCTATGGTGTTCTGTGTGTGTGTTTATGGTGTGTGGTTTGGTGTTTTTAGGCCGGGTTCTGCGTGTTCCGGTATTTTATTTCATGTGTGTCTGGGTTGTAGTTGCCGTTTGTTTACCGGTTCCTGTGTGTTCCGGTTGAACGATCGCGTGTTTCTGTACTGTGTGTGCCGGGTGTTCCGTGGACTGTGCGTGTTTTTTGAAAATTGTTATCATTTGGTTGGGCAATTTCTTATTGTGTGTTTTAATGTATTTCGCTTTGTTGTTTCATGGGTTCTCAATTACGTTTTGCTCTATGATAATTGTCCACTGTGTTTTTTTATTGTGTTCACATGTGTTCAGCTTTTTGGTGTGACACTTGTACTGAATTGTTCTGTGTTGCTTGAGTGTCAATTGGTGTTATGTTGTTGGGTGGTGTGTGGTGGTGTAAGGTTTTTCTTATGGTGCTTCGGTGCCTTCGTTGTAATGTTTTTCTTGTAATGTATTTTGTTTTATAAATAAAAAAGAAAAACAAAGTGTTGACAAACTACATCACCTATGGTGTAGTGTGAGAGTGCTCCCTGACACTGCACCTATGGTGTAGTGTGAGAGTGCTCCCTGACACTGCACCTATGGTGTAGTGTGAGAGTGCTCCCTGACACTGCACCTATGGTGTAGTGTGAGAGTGCTTCCTGACACTGCACCTATGGTGTAGTGTGAGAGTGCTCCCTGACACTGCACCTATGGTGTAGTGTGAGAGTGCTCCCTGACACTGCACCTATGGTGTAGTGTGAGAGTGCTCCCTGACACTGCACCTATGGTGTAGTGTGAGAGTGCTCCCCGACACTGCACCTATGGTGTAGTGTGAGAGTGCTCCCTGACACTGCACCTATGGTGTAGTGTGAGAGTGCTCCCTGACGCTGCACCTATGGTGTAGTGTGAGAATGCTCTCTGACGCTGCACCTATGGTGTAGTGTGAGTTCACTCTGACGCTGCACCTATGGTGTAGTGTGAGAGTGCTCCCTGACACTGCACCTATGGTGTAGTGTGAGAGTGCTCCCTGACACTGCACCTATGGTGTAGTGTGAGAGTGCTCCCTGACACTGCACCTATGGTGTAGTGTGAGAGTGCTCCCTGACACTGCACCTATGGTGTAGTGTGAGAGTGCTCCCTGACACTGCACCTATGGTGTAGTGTGAGAGTGCTCCCTGACGCTGCACCTATGGTGTAGTGTGAGAGTGCTCCCTGACGCTGCACCTATGGTGTAGTGTGAGTGCTCCCCGACGCTGCACCTATGGTGTAGTGTGAGTGCTCCCCGACGCTGCACCTATGGTGTAGTGTGTGAGTGCTCCCCGACGCTGCACCTATGGTGTAGTGTGTGAGTGCTCCCCGACGCTGCACCTATGGTGTAGTGTGTGAGTGCACCCCGACGCTGCACCTATGGTGTAGTGTGAGTGCACCCTGACGCTGCACCTATGGTGTAGTGTGCGAGTGCTCCCCGACGCTGCACCTATGGTGTAGTGTGTGCTCCCCGACGCTGCACCTATGGTGTAGTGTGTGTGCTCCCCGACGCTGCACCTATGGTGTAGTGTGTGTGCTCCCCGACGCTGTACCTATGGTGTAGTGTGTGTGCTCCCCGACGCTGCACCTATGGTGTAGTGTGTGTGCCCCCGACGCTGCACCTATGGTGTAGTGTGAGAATGCTCCCTGACGCTGCACCTATGGTGTAGTGTGAGTTCACTCTGACGCTGCACCTATGGTGTAGTGTGAGAGTGCTCCCTGACGCTGCACCTATGGTGTAGTGTGAGTGCTCCCTGACGCTGCACCTATGGTGTAGTGTGAGTGCACCCTGACGCTGCACCTATGGTGTAGTGTGCGAGTGCTCCCCGACGCTGCACCTATGGTGTAGTGTGTGTGCTCCCCGACGCTGCACCTATGGTGTAGTGTGTGCGCTCCCCGACGCTGCACCTATGGTGTAGTGTGTGCGCCCCCGACGCTGCACCTATGGTGTAGTGTGTGCGCCCCCGACGCTGCACCTATAGTGTAGTGTGAGAATGCTCCCTGACGCTGCACCTATGGTGTAGTGTGAGTTCACTCTGACGCTGCACCTATGGTGTAGTGTGAGTGCTCCCTGACGCTGCACCTATGGTGTAGTGTGAGTGCACCCTGACGCTGCACCTATGGTGTAGAGTGTCAGCGCTCCCCGACACTGCACCTATGGTGTAGTGTGTCAGCGCTCCCCGACGCACTGCACCTATGGTGTAGTGTGTGCGCTCCCCGACGCTGCACCTATGGTGTAGAGTGTCAGCGCTCCCCGACACACTGCACCTATGGTGTAGTGTGTGCGCTCCCCGACGCTGCACCTATAGTGTAGTGTGAGAATGCTCCCTGACGCTGCACCTATGGTGTAGTGTGAGTTCACTCTGACGCTGCACCTATGGTGTAGAGTGTCAGCGCTCCCCGACACTGCACCTATGGTGTAGTGTGTCAGCGCTCCCCGACACTGCACCTATGGTGTAGAGTGTCAGCGCTCCCCGACACACTGCACCTATGGTGTAGAGTGTCAGCGCTCCCCGACACACTGCACCTATGGTGTAGTGTCAGCGCTCCCCGACACACTGCACCTATGGTGTAGAGTGTCAGCGCTCCCCGACACACTGCACCTATGGTGTAGTGTGAGTGCTCCCTGACGCTGCACCTATGGTGTAGAGTGAGTGCTCCCTGACGCTGCACCTATGGTGTAGAGTGTCAGCGCTCCCCGACACACTGCACCTATGGTGTAGAGTGTCAGCGCTCCCCGACACACTGCACCTATGGTGTAGTGTGTCAGCGCTCCCTGACACAGTTGTCAGTCCCGCAGAGGAAGACTCCCGCCGCCGCCGTCGGAGGCGACTCATCAAGAGTGACATAAATGTCGTGTTAATCCCTGGTGGACGTGACCCGAGGACCATCTTAGTGGTCAAGACATTCTCGCCTAGTGAAGGGTCATCGACTTACTGTACATCATCCCAGTGTAGGAGGCGGAACACCTCCACCCCCGCCTCTGGGGGAGCAATACCTGGACCATACCTGTAGTGGGTTCCCGGCCTGGGGCCAGGGATTGAACACTGTATTTATATTTAACGTAATATGAGCTAAACATATGGTTACCGGAACCAAAGGTATCCAACAAGGAAATACTACACAGGATTAACTACGCTGCCACCATCTGCCTTGTCCATTTACTATATCAAGCAACGAGGCAAGAAACATTGCTTGACTTGGAGAGTACTTTCTTTAACTGTCAATAAGTATGGGACGGTTGTTAGCCAACTATATCCAAAAGGCTAAGAGGATTCAACAATTGACACAGATGGAAAGTTTAGCACGAGTTTATTGAGAACAAAATTATGCTAATCACCACTATAAATCCTACTCTAACACTGGCCAATCGTTAAGAAATTTAGACATGGAACAAAATCCTCAGAGATCACACTTTACCTTAAGACCTCTGTCTCTCCCTCCGGTGGATTCACTCTGTCACTCCCTGGCTGTGCGATGTTCTCACAGACCCACTCTGGACCCTGGTGTCCGGCACTCTCTCCAAACTAAGTCTGCTACAGTACAATATATACACACAAGAAAGGGGTTTGGGGAGATTTGCTGTTGCTACATACACCGAAGACGCAAGAGGACGGGCCACACGTGCACAAGTACTCAAATTTTTTTCATTAAGCTTTTTTTGACATTCACCACACACTGTTCAAGAGAGGAATTATTAATTACGTGTGTGTCTGACCTGTGACCTGGCCAAAAGGGGGAGATCCATGGATGTTTACACATAAGAATCTGGGGTCTAATTCCATTACAATGTTTGACAAGAGTATCATGAAATATTCCATACTTGAAACTAGCTGACTAAGACTAACCCAGGAATTTTTAATCAACATACAAGATAATCCAGAGGTCATCTGGGCTGACCTCTTGGAGAAGGCTTCCCTGCGTGTGAACTCTAGGGGGGGGGGTCATGGGAGTTACAACACATAAGGGACACAACTGGCCGACCCCTCACAGTGTTCAAGAGAGAACTATCAACATCAGAGGTCCGAGACTGTTCAACACGCTTCCACTACACACAAGGGGCATAACTGGCCGACCCCTCACAGTGTTCGAGAGAGAACTTGATAAACACCTCCAACGGATACCTGATCAACCAGGCTGTGACTCATACGTCAGGCTGCGAGCAGCCGCGTCTAACAGCCTGGTTGACCAGTCCAGCAACCAGGAGGCCTGGTCGAGGACAGGGCCGCGGGGACGCTAAGCCCTGAAATCATCGCAAGGTATCAGGTGCGGTACAGGGGGCACCAGGTGGGGTACAGGGGGCACCAGGTGGGGTACAGGGGGCACCAGGTGGGGTACAGGGGGCACCAGGTGGGGTACAGGCGGCACCAGGTGGGGTACAGGGGGCACCAGGTGGGGTACAGGGGGCACCAGGTGGGGTACAGGGGGCACCAGGTGGGGTACAGGGGGCACCAGGTGGGGTACAGGGGGCACCAGGTGGGGTCCAGGGGGGTACAGGGGGCACCAGGGGGCACCAGGTGGGGTACAGGGGGGCACCAGGTGCGGTACAGGGGGGCACCAGGTGGGGTACAAGGGGCACCAGGTGGGGTACAGGGGCAGGAGCGTAATAGGGTCAGATGGTAATGGTGGCCTCGGAGATTACAACTTGTGTGTTTGATCACCTTGTTCCCCGCGCCCCTGCCCCGCCTACACCACCCACCATACACCCACCTACACCCACCATACAACCACCTAGACCCACCTAGACCCAGTAGGGTAATAAGACAGGTGGTAAGAGTGAGTGTGTGGACCAGGTGGTGGTGAAGGTGGTGCTGGCCCGAGGTGTTTGTCTGCCCAGTGAGTCATGCTGGCTCCTCCACTCATGAGAAAGTGATGGGTGTGTGTGTGTGTGTGTGTGTGTGTGTGTGTGTGTGTGTGTGTGTGTGTGTGTGTGTGTGTGTGTGTGTGTGTGTGTGTGTGTGTGTGTGTGTGCGCGCGCGCGCGCCCCTCTGTCTTTATGTATGGTGTTGACAGTCGTAGTTTAGAGCAATAACTCCTGTCCTTCTCTCCCATCATATCTAGTTAGGAATTATGGACACAGTTTGCTCTCACAATCTGCTCCTTTAGTTCATTTAATTTTCCCAAAACTTTTACGCTAAATGAAAACTTTCTAACGTCCGTACGACTCCTCTGAGTTTCCAGCTTTTTCCCATGTCCCGTCGTTATGTTGGTATTCCGTGTGAACAACTACTTTATTTCCACTGTCAATCCCCCTGAGTATTTTATACGTTACTATCATATCTCCCCGCTTCTTCATTTCTTGTAGCGTCGTCAGGTTTAGTTCCTTCAGGCGCTCTTCATACTCCATCCCTCGGAACTCTGGGCCAAGCCTCGTCGCAAACTTGTGAACCTTTACCAGTTGGCGGGATACTCTAAGACTGGCCTCACGTAGGCAGTGTAAAGCGCCCTAAATGACTCCTTAGGTGATTTAACTTTTGGTCTTATGTCCACTCTCGGGCCTCTTTCACGAATCGTCCCAGGTAGGTAGTTATCCTTCATTGTGTACTGTCCTCTTGGTCTCCTGTCACCACGGGAGCCGGTCGGCCGAGCGGACAGCACACTGGACTTGTGATCCTGTGGTCCCAGGTTCGATCCCGGCCGCCGGTGAGAAACAATGGGCAGAGTTTCTTTCACCCTATGCCCTTGTTACCTAGCAGTAAAATAGGTACCTGGGTGTTAGTCAGACGTCACGGGCTGCTTCCTGGGGGTGTAGGCCTGGGGGCCAGATTCACGAAAGCACTTACGCAAGCACTTACGAACGTGTACATCTTTCCTCAATCTTTGACGGCTTTGGTTACATTTATTAAACAGTTTACAAGCATGAAAACTTTCCAATCAACTGTTGTTATTGTTATAAACAGCCTCCTGGTGCTTCGGAGCTCATTAACTGCTTAATAATTGGAAACAAAGCCCCCGAAGATCGAGAAAAGATGTACAGGTTCGTAAGTGCTTGCGTAAGTGCTTTCGTGAATCTGGCCCCTGGTCGAGGACCGGGCCGCGGGGACACTAAAGCCCCGAAATCATCTCAAAATAACCTCAAGATAGTACCTTTTCCATAACTTTACACTTGCTTGTGTTGAACTCCAGTAGGCATTTCTCTGACCATTTCTGCAACCTGTTCAGGTCGTCTTGGAGGATCCTGCAGCCCTCACCTATCACAACTTGTCTCATTCATTTCACGTCATCCGGGAACGTCGACATTCGGGGTACAGGGGCCCCGAATTACAGGAATTAATTCTAATTCCTTAACTACAGGAATTAAGATAACAATTCCTGTTGATAGGAGGGGGGCCCTGACGGCTGAGTTGACATCGCTCGGGATTCGCAGTCCTAGGGTTCTGGGTTCGATCCCCGGCGGAGGCGGAAGCAAATAGGCAGATTTTTTCACCCTGATATGCCTGTTCACCTAGCAGTAAATAGGTACCTGGGAGTTACAGCTGCTTTGTAACGAGGGGGGGGGGAATAGCTCTATCTTGTCCATTATTCCACCCCCCAGTTAACTAACGAGGCCGGGGGAAACAGCTCTCTCTAGTCCGTTATCCCGTCCCCAGTTAGCTAACTATTCTAGAGCACCCCCAGTGTTCCTACGGCAACCTCTCTCATTCAACACCTTGTAACCTAGGTATTTGACTTCCTAGGTGCTACAACTACTAGGCATTGGAACCTGATCAGCTACTCGTAACTCTAGAACACATTTCACTGCCACAAACGTATAAGAGAACCGAAAGGGAAGAGATGAATAATGAAGTAATTAGTGAGTGTTTGAGGTGAGGGAGGAAGAGAGGTGGAGGAGCGAGGAGGGTCGTCAGTTGAAAGGGAGAGTTTGGAGAGGGGTGGAGTGGGAGGAGAGAGAATACTGAGATGAGTGGGGGGGGGGGGTAGAAGTAGAAAAGTAGATAGTAGAAGCAGAAGAGTAGATAGTAGAAGTAGAAACGTGCTGCCACCATCCATTCAAGACCACTACATACCAGACAAGGAATGGAACTTGTCAATATCACAATATTCTCAAAGATGTTATAAAAAGGTCATTATTAGTGTGTGTCATCTGTATCATGTACTCATTAAAATCATGAACCAGTAACCACAGAAGCTTTCTCATCTCAACTCAAAAACTCTAGGGAACAAAGCCAAAGACAGTTTAAACAATAAATTCATCAATTATATTTCAGATGATAAATGTCATAATTTAAGTAATTCAACTTAATGTTCAAGATTAATATACAAAGTGAGTCGTCATCCAAGAATTCGAGACCACTACAACTTGACTGCCCCTGATCCTCACACAACACTTGTAAACACGACTAAGTCACCTTAATGTTCAGTCACCGAGGACTGAGTCTAAGTTGAATAGAGGGGGGGGGGGAGAGTCTGCAGTTGTCAGGCAGCGTCACCTGACCTTTGCTCTGCTGGCAGTTCTCCTATTGCTTATCCTTGAATCTACAGCTTCCTCAGTATATATATTGGGAACCTAGTAGCTAACTCCACCCACAAGTAGATAGCCCGGGGCTCTCTACCAAGCCACTCCTAAAACTGGCGGCTTGTTTGAAGGCTACCAGGCTACAATTATCAGATTAGCAGAAGTAAGGTGAAATTCGCATGAGCTGACCTCAGGTCAACTTGAGGTCATTAGCGCTTAGAGGTGTGAGTTTCAGGCTGACAGACTAGCGCCTCTCAAATCTTGTCTGGCTTGAATCATGTACTATATATATATTAATTAAAACTAAACAAAACACCTTTACGGTGTTACAGATTCCTGGGGGGGGTGTAACAAATAAGGAGGCCTGGTCGAGGACCGGGCCGCGGGGACGCTAAGCCCCGAAATCATCTCAAGATAACTCAAGATAACATGTCGTTTACGTATACTAGATATAGAACTGGTCCCAACAGCGATCCTTGCGGTGCTCCGCTCGTTACTGGTCACCAGTCCGGCCTCTCACCCCGTACTGCCTCCTACTGTTACATGTGTTATCTTGACGTTATCTGGAGATGATTTCGGGGCTTTAGTGTCCCCGTGGCCCGGTCCTTGACCAGACCTCCACCCCCAGGAAGCAGCCCGTGACAGCTGACTAACACCCAGGTACCTATTTTACTGCTAGGTAACAGGGGCATAGGGTGAAAGAAACTCTGCCCATTGTTTCTCGCCGGCGCCTGGGATCGAACCCAGGACCATAGGATCACAAGTCCAGCGTGCTGTCCGCTCGGCCGACCGCTCTCCCTGCCTGTGTGGCTGGTAGGTAGTTCCTTACCCACCCTGAGGCTTGTCCGCGTACTCCCGCCGCCTCCCAAGTTTAAACAGCAATCTCCTGTGCGGTACTGTATCAAAGGCTTTATGACAGCCCAGAAATATGCAGTCTGCCCATCCTGTCCTGCCCTACTCTTGTCACTTGATCATAGCATTCCAGGGAGGGGGGGGGGGGTGTTATGGGCCAGTGTGTGCTGATAACACACCGGTAGTGCTTGATAAGATAGCAGAAGGGTAACTGACGCGGATGATAACAGGTGGTGGAGCCACCCAGCACCAGCCTCATCATTCAGAACCACCCACCAGTACACCCCGGGTGTACTGGTGGTCCCCAGCCCCGGGTGTACTGGTGGTCCCCAGCCCCGGGTGTACTGGTGGTCCCCAGCCCCGGGTGTACTGGTGGTCCCCAGCCCCGGGTATACTGGTGTTCCCCAGCTCCGGGTGTACTGGTGTTCCCCAGCCCCGGGTGTACTGGTGGTGGTCCCCAGCCCCGGGTGTACTGGTGGTGGTCCCCAGCCCCGGGTGTACTGGTGGTGGTCCCCAGCCCCGGGTGTACTGGTGGTGGTCCCCAGCCCCGGGTGTACTGGTGGTGGTCCCCAGCCCCGGGTGTACTGGTGGTGGTCCCCAGCCCCGGGTGTACTGGTGGTGGTCCCCAGCCCCGGGTGTACTGGTGGTGGTCCCCAGCCCCGGGTGTACTGGTGGTGGTCCCCAGCCCCGGGTGTACTGGTGGTGGTCCCCAGCCCCGGGTGTACTGGTGGTGGTCCCCAGCCCCGGGTGTACTGGTGGTGGTCCCCAGCCCCGGGTGTACTGGTGGTGGTCCCCAGCCCCGGGTGTACTGGTGGTGGTCCCCAGCCCCGGGTGTACTGGTGGTGGTCCCCAGCCCCGGGTGTACTGGTGGTGGTCCCCAGCCCCGGGTGTACTGGTGGTGGTCCCCAGCCCCGGGTGTACTGGGGGACACATCCGCCCATCAGGGAAGGTGTCGGGTGCACTGCGGCAGGTTTAGCACTTGATGGGTTTTCAACACTCTCCCTCTTGCCCCTCCCGTGGGGGGCGGTGTGCGCGTGGTGGTGGTGTGGGGGGCGGTGTGGGCGTGGTGGTGGTGTGGGGGGCGGCGTGGTGGTGGTGTGGGGGGCGGTGTGGGCGTGGTGGTGGTGTGGGGAACGTGGTGGTGGTGTGGGGGGCGGGAGACGGTGTACTCACCTATTTGTGCTTGCAGGGGTTGAGATTTGGCGCTTTGGTCCCGCCTCTCAACCGTCAATCAACAGGTGTACAGATTCCTGAGCCTACTGGGCTCTATCATATCTACACTTGAAACTGTGTATGGAGTCAGCCTCCACCACATCACTGCCTAATGCATTCCATCCGTTAACTACTCTGACACTGAAAAAGTTCCTTCTAACGTCTCTGTGGCTCATGTGGGTACTCAGTTTCCACCTGTGTCCCCTTGTTCGCGTCCCACCAGTGTTGAATAGTTTATCCTTGTTTACCCGGTCGATTCCCTGAGGATTTTGTAGGTTG